ATCTATCTATCTATCTATCTATCTATCTATCTATCTATCTATCTATCATTTATCTGTCTATGCTCAGCAAGTGGGCTAGTTTTGAACCCAAGTTGTGCGAATGCAGACTCTTTTTACAAGGCCTGACTGTGTGATGTCTCCCTCACCTGGAAGCCATCTTTCCCAGGTCTGGCTTCAGAGGTGCGAACTCCTCAAGAGGCTATGTCTGACTCTCTCTTCTCTCCTTTGCAGGTGGCACCATGGCTTTGGGGCCACAATCTGGACTGGCTTTTCTGTGGGCTGCAGCGGAAACTTTGGCACCGCTGCCATCAAAGGTAAGTTACGAGGCAGGAAGGAAAAGAAGATTCAAGAACAGGTAGTCCTCGACCTATGACCAAAAATTGAGCCCCAAATTTCTGTTGCTAAGTGAGTCCTGGGTTAAGTGAATTTTGGTCCGTTTTACGACCTTTTCGCCTCAGTTGTTAAGTGAATTGCTACAGTGGATAAGTTAGAAACCTGGTTGTTAAGTGAATCTGGCTTCCCCGTTGACTTTGCTGTCGCAAAAGCAGATCACGTGACCCTGGGACACTGCAACCATCATAAATATGAGCCGATTGCCAAGCACCTGAATTTTGATCACGTGCCCCTGTGAAAGCCGCGATGGTCGTAAGTGAAAAAGGGTCACAAGTCACTTTTTTTCAGTGCTGTCATAACTTCAATCTACCCGTAGTCCATCTTGGTTTGTGCAGCCTCATCTTTAGTAAAGCAAGCATGTATCGGGCATATCACTAGACAGCCAAGTTACAAAAGGCCCTCAGCGCACGACAAACGATGTTTTGTCCCCAGTATTTTTTTCAAGGGATGCGGTGGCTCAGTGGCTAAGATGCTGAGCTTGTTGATCAGAAAGGTTGGCAGTTCAGCGGTTCGAATCCCTAGCGCCGCGTAATGGAGTGAGCTCCCGTTCCTTGTCCCAGCTTCTGATCAACCTAGCAGTTCAAAAGCATGTAAAAATGCAAGTAGAAAAATAGGGACCACTTTGGTGGGAAGGTAACAGCATTCTGTGCTTAGTCATGTTGTTTATTTAGTCATGTTAGAGCTGGAAACGACTAGCATGTATGTGCGAGGAGAACCTTTGCCTTTTATGTAGTCTTTGATGCTTGATTTTTACTCATATAATGGGTGGGAGAAAGCTCCCTGTTCTTTTTTGTCATTTTGATTCCTCTTGTGGAACTCTATAGACTTCATTGCATTGTCATGCCAACCTAACAGTAAAGATAACAGTCTTTGTTGACGTCAAGAATGGCCTCATAATATTTATGAAAGTAAGAAGTCAACAGTATAGGAATAATATCAGTGGTAGAGAGATGAAGTATTTTGCTGTTTTGAAATTAGAAGAATGAAGGACGCAGTGGCTCGGTGGCTAAGATGCTGAGCTTGTGGATCAGAAATGGTCAGCAGTTTGGCGGTTCGAATCCCTAGCACCGCATAACAGAGTTGAGCTCCCGTTACTGGCCTCAGCTTCTGCCCAACCTAGCAGTTCAAAAGCATGTAAAAATGCAAGTAGAAAAATAGGGATCACTTTGGTGGGAGGGTAACAGCGTTCCGTGCACCTTCGGCGTTTAGTCATGCCGACCACATGACACAGAGACATCTTTGGACAGTGCTGGCTCTTCGGCTTTGTAACGGAGATGAACAGCGCCCCCTAGAGCCAGAAACGACTAGCATGTATGTGTGGGGGAACCTTTACCTTTGCCTATTTTTTTCAAAGGTGTATCTTTTTAACAAGGGGAGGGAATTCTGCACATGCTCTGAAGCCCCCCCCTTCAAATGAAGCTGTGGGAGAGTCTCCCCCTCATTATCTCAGCATTTCCCACTGGCACCCCTTTCCCCTTTGTCTGTGTTTGCCCCCAAAATAGCAGAGCACTCAAGATCCCATCTTGAGACGTATTCCTTGGATTTGAAGAACCTGAGGTGCCCAAACGTCCTCCAGACCTTGTATTTTCAAGGTCACCCCATGTTTTCTCCTTTTTTTTCCTGCAAAAAACCCCACGACCTATTCTGTCCTTTTAATTCTCTATGGTGGTCTTCTGAGGGGATATAAAGCTTTTTCATTTTTGTTTTAAATAATAGGAACATTACATAGCTATTTGTCTATGGAGATTCTCAGTCATCCAGGTCATGGTTGTCCCAAAGGTACTTTTTTCAAGAGGAAACTTGACTTTCTGGTTTTTGTTTGAAGACTTCTCGCTTCTCATGCAAGCAGCTCATCAGAGCTGAAGACGTTTCTTGGATGAGAAGCGAAACTTCTTCAAAGAAAAACCCAGTTGCCTCTTGAAAAAGCCTCCCCGGGCTCCGGAGGCTCTTTGGAAGCCGTAAACGGGCCCATTTCTGGCCTTCCCAAACTTCTGGGAGGTCAGTTTTTCACCCTCCCCGAGCCTCTGTGTGCACCCTGCACTTAATCTGCTTCCAAAACGGGCCACGTGGGGACTTCTGGGAGGGGCGGGGTGGGATGGGTGGGGCCAGTTAGGAGTGGGATTTGGAGGTTCTCCGAACTACACAGAATCTTATCTAGGGGCTCTCTGGAACCCCTGCAAACTGCCAGCAGCCCACCCCTGGCCTTGACAGTATTGAGGGAATTATTTGTTTAGCAGAGCGATGGCATTCGGGGAAAAACTGTCCTTGTGTCTAGTTGTTCTGGTGCGCAGTGCTCTGTAGCGTCGTTTTGAGGGTAGAACTTGAAACAATTTATGTCCAGGATGTGAGGGGTCTGTAGATATTTTCACAGCCCTCTTTTTGACTCGTGCAGTGTACAGGTCCTCCATGGGAGGCAGGTTGGTAGAATTTTTTTCCCTGCAGTGTTAATGATCTGTTCAAATCTGTGTCTGTCTTGGGTTGCAGAGCCAAACTAGACAGTTATAGAAGTGCAGATACACACGGAGCATCTACAATTTCTGGAAGCAAATTGTTCCACTGGCTAATTGTTCTCACTGTTTGGTTTGTTTGTTTCCTTTGAGGTGGGCCAGAGAAAGAGCATTGGGCCCAAAGCCTCTCTGGACCTTTTCCAGCTGAGGATTAGATGTGAACTGGTTTCCCTGGCCTTAAATCTTCCAGCATGATGCTTACTTCCTGCTTCTTATTTTGGTTTCAGCACCCTACTGAAATTCTTCTGGAGAAGGTGCCGTGGTCCCACCTGCACTTCCATCCAGGTTGTGACTTGGGCTTTCTCTTTCAGGCTGTTGTGTCCTTCAAAGATGTGGCTGTGTATTTCACGGAGGAGGAATGGGCCCTGCTGGATCGGAACCAAAGGATCTTGTACAGGGAAGTTATGCTGGAGACATATGGGATCGTGACCTCACTTGGTGAGTCTCTGTTAAGGCATTGTTAAGGTATTGAGAACAGCTGTTGTAAGGCTGATGCAATGAGGATGAATCAGCATGGTTATTGCCCCTTTAAGACTGAGGATTGGGCCAAGGAACAGGGACCAGTTCAGCCAACAGCAGCCAGAAGTTATTTCAAGTGCCAATCTAAACATTATTTGGTTAGTAGATGTGGCCCTCAGCTTATACATGATAACGAAGTTGGAAGGGACCTTGTAGGTCATCTAATCCAACCCCCTGCTCAAGCAGGAGACCCTATACCCGTGACGGCGAACCTATGGCATGTGTGCCAGAAGTGTCATCAGAACAATTTTGGCCGGCACGTGAGAGGTCACCCAAAACAGTCCCACTGCGCATGCACATGCGTGCCCACTGCCAGCCAACTGATTGTCAGGTATCTGCCGTGCAGACTCAGGAGTAAGGCTGCAAGGTAATGGCCCCTCCCTTAAGAGATAAAAGCCAGCTGAGAAACCGGAGTTCTTTGCAGGAAGCAAATAAGTTTTTGCACTCAAGCCTTGTGGATGTTTGGACTATCTTAGTTTGTGTTCGGAGACTGTTTGTGTTTGAAATATTTCTTGGCAACTTTATCTAGTGTTCTTGGCAGCCTTGCACAACCTTGGTAAGGCTCGTTCTTATCAGAGACAATTAGTTTGAAACAGCCTTTTAACCGTGAAGGAATGGAATTCGTAAAGTATCATTAACAGGTTTTGGTATTACGTCTGTTTGGTGTTTGTTTCCTTGGAACAAGGTTTGGGTCAGAACACCCGCTGGTGGCTAGCGGAGCTGGCAGAAGAGTCAGACAGTGAAGAGATTGGGGAGGAACATGGGCCAGTCCTGGAGGCTGAGGAAGGCTCGGAAAAGGGCTCTGCATCAGAGGCAGAGATGGGGCCAGGCCGTCTGACAGTCTTCAGCTGCCTTTGGAGTCAGACAGTAGTGAGGCGGGGAAGCAGCTGGAGCTGGTTCCCGGTCTGCGCATGCGCAGCGCTGCCAAGAGAAAACAATTACGAACTAATGGTCAATGTGTGAGTAAGGCCACAGGTGGACGGTGAATGGTCCATAAGGATTAAAAGGAGCAAAAGGGGAGGAGGCTTTTGTAGGAAACAATTTGTTCATTACACCAGTGTGAAGATCTGTCTGTGCATCTCAGAGACTCTGTGCCGAGCCCTTCCTTGTCAACACTGCGTTTGAAAATATTTACTTGGCAGCTCTCCAGACTAAATAAGGTCTGTGCTCCTAAATACACCCTTGAAAGACTGTTTGCCAGGCCTTTGACTGAATGCGAATGCCAGAAATTCACCTTCGTTTAATAAGAGGGGTTTTGCTGGGACAAAAAGTGTGCTTAGTGCTTTTTGTGGAAGGCAGAACACTCCCCATTCCGCACAGCTACAACCAGCCTTACTGTGGCAGCCCTGAAGGTGCTCCAAAATGGCTTCAGGGTTGACATCCAGATCAGTAGCAATTCAGTTTCTTCTTAAAAGCCTCCAGTGGTGGAGCTGCCACAACATGTCACAGGATCAAGGGGTCTCTGCGACTGTTGTAAGCACGAGGATCAGTTGTAAGTCACATTTTTAGCATCATTGTCCCTTTAAACAGTCACTAAATAAATGGTCGTATACCTATACGCTCTACCTATATTGTAGAGCGACCATCCTTGTACGGTCTAGATCAGGGGTTCCCAACCTGGGTGCTCGCACCCCCTGGGGGTGCAAGACGATATTCCAGGGGTGCGAGAAAAGTCCAGGTAAATAATAGGATATTGGCTATATGTTGGCATTTTTATTTATTATGCAGTGGATTAACTTTGTTTTCATTTTAGAGTTAAGTATCGTTATTTAGTGGCCGTCACATACATAGCTGAAAAGATTCAATCCTACCATATATTTAACGCATTCAATAGTTCCTAAAGTCTAAATTTCAGGGGGTGCGAGGTTCGAGTGAAATTTCTTTAGGGGTACGGGGCGAAAAAAAGGTTGGGAACCACTGGTCTAGATGAAGCTGCTGCATTGTAAAATGTCTTTGGAACAGCTTGATCTGGGTCTCGCACTTTTCAAAATCATGTTCTTCCTCACCACAGTGTGTGTGTTTCATCCTTTTCAACTGAAGGCCCCTTGTGATAAAAATCAAAAAACAGCTGGAGACACGTGAACAATAGAGGAGAGCTTTATTATGAAGCTTTTGCAAAAGGGAATTCTGCTCATGGCAGAAGACATTTTCCCCAGGAGGGCTGGGGTTTATATATAGGTTCAAATATACAGCCTCTACCCCTTTCCTGGGTTCACAATCTTTCCAAGCTATGTATCTCCCTACACCACACCCATATTATTGTAGCGTAACACCTGTTTCCTTGTCCTTGGAAACTACCCTCATTCACATGGCTTTTTCTTCCTGTTATGGTCCTGTTATGTCCATCTGTAATACAATATCCTTATGCCAAAAAATATAGGCCCATGTTCTAGCCAGAAGCCTTATATTTACTTTAGAACATAACAAGTTATAAAACAGTACATGTTTATTAGATATATAACATCCAATAATCATTTCATAGTTCAAATATCAGATAAGTATGGCTTCCCTTCTGTTCTTCATTTTCACATGGGGAAGTCTCCAACCTTGACAACTTTAAGACTTGTGGACTTCAACTCCCAGAGTTCCTCAGCCAGCAAAGCTCTAGGAGAACTCTAGGAGTTGAAGTCCACAAGTCTTAAAGTTGCTAAGATTGGAGATCCCTGGTCTAAATATTTTCTATTTGGAAGTTAACAACTTGTTTGTTTCCTCCAAAGAATTTCCCAAACCTGAGATCCAATCCTGGATGGAAGAAGGAGAAGATCTACTTGTCCAACAGGACAAGGAAGGAGAAAGATCAGCAGGAATCTGTTCAGGTGAGTGATAAGGAAATTAGATGGGGCTGGATGTGGGTTTAATTTTTCACCTCCCGAGAGAGATTGGTCCTGAGTTAGGTTGCCAGTTTATTCTCATTTGGATCACTCGTTCCTTCTTTTTCTGTGTAAGAACTTATATGGGATGTAAAAAGTGATTCCATCCCTTACGGGCTGCTGAGACCTCAAAAGTTTTGAGAACAATCTTTAGGAAATGTTCCACTTTACAGAAGACCTGGGAACTGACACCAAATGTTTGAGGTTATGACAATGTCAGCGTTCCAGGAAAACCTCCACTCCAAACAATAATTTTGAGACAAACATATCCTCCAAAGTTTTGTTTTATTTGGATAATAAACTGGCACATCTGGGGAATCCCGAATCTGAAAGTTCCGGGTTTCCTTGCAATAAGTAAAAACTACAAATCCATCCCCTATCGTTGCATCACATGTCCCAATCACCATCCATCCCAGCTTGAGACGTCCTCTCACCCAGGTGCAGAAATAACATGACCTTGACTTAGAAGAAGAATGCTATTATGTCTAACCACATACGCTCCAAGAAATTCCCCCCTCCCGTTTTCCCAGGCTCAAGAATGTGGCAGTGTGGAAGCATCTGGTGCTAATATAGCTTCCAAAGCTGACAGACAATAGGGAAAAAAATGAAATCCACAAAAGGAGGAAAGATTCATTAGGATCCAGCAAATGTCAGATAGGCCTGGGCACGATTTTATCTTCTTCAGACTGGTATCACTACAAAAGATGTTGGAAGATCTGGCCAAGTTCCGATATCAACACCAGGCTTTTCCTGACATTTTGGAACGGTATGAGTTAGTGGATTTCAGAGAAGGGGAAATTTTGACTATTTCAAAAGTGGCAAAAAGTGATTGAATGTGGAACCAGTAACTGAGAGAGGTGATCAGCTCCCTTTCTTGTCTGTGTTCAAGAAGAAACTGGAGGCCCCTCCATCAGGGATGCCTTAATTATGGATTTCTGCCTTGAAGGGGTTGGACTGCATGACTTTAGGAGTCCCTTCCAATTTTAGAATTTTATAGATTAACAGAATGTCTGCCTAATCATTTTATTTCAGGTAACAGAATAACTGTCGGGATTCCGGCAGTTACCCCCATTTAAATCATGAGTCTTGAGCCAAACTTCCAAAACTTCAAAAGGATTTATTGGGAGTTAAAATGTCCGGCACTGCCTGGGTGTAGCCGACTCTGAGGCACATCATTCATTGTCACCCTTGACCCTGGTTTTCCTTCACCCCCTGGTTGTATCTTAATTCATATTCTCCAATGGGACACATCCATAGCCAAGAGTCATGCTCTCCAGTTAGAATTTTGCACGGCAGAAACTTCATTCACCTAGTTACTATCTTTGAAAACTATTTATGAAATGCACTTTCAGTTTGCAAGCTGCCGCACTGCTCCCCACTCCCTTTCTGTTGGCAACTCTAAAAAGACCATAGAAATATTTTATGAGTTGACATTAAAAGAGTTCGAAAGGACCGTGGAGGTCTTCTAATCCAATCTTCTGTTCAAGTAGGAGGACCTATATTATTTCAGACAAATTGTTGTCCAATCTCTTTCTTAAAAACCTCCAGTGATGAAGCACCCACAACATCTGAAGGCAAGTTGTTCCACTGGTTAATTGTTCTCTCTCAGGAAATTCCTCCTTAGTTCTAGGTTGCTTCTCTCCTTGATTAATTTCCATCCAGTATTTCTTGTCCTGCCTTCAGGTGCCTTCAGGTGCTTTGGAGCAGGGGCCTCCAACCTTGGCAACTTTAAGGCTCATGGACTTCAACTCCCAGAACTCTGGGAGTTGAAGTTCACAACTCTTAAAGTTGCCAAGGTTGGAGACCTCTGCTTTGGAGAATAGGTTGGCATCCTCTTCTTCAAGGCAGGCCCTTAGATATTGGAACACTGTTATCATATATTTGCAATTGCCTAACAATTTACAAGAATGACTAATTGAGTACATTTGTTCCATTTTTCTGTTTCATTTGTAATCTAGTCTTTTCTCTGTCTTTCTGTCGGAGCAGGTTTGGTGATGGAAGATTCCCCTGCTGAAGAGCTGTGCTACACCTCATCAAGAATTGTCAAAGATGAAGAGCAGGAAGAGATCGCTGGTGATCTCAAGGGATCACTGGGACAAGAAGGGCAAAAAGCAGAAACGTTGAGGAATCTGTCTATCTTCCGGACAGAAGATAGTTGTCAAAAACGAATTCAGAAAGAAGACGAAAAAAATAAAAAAACTTCAGGTAGTAGGGCATTAATCCCTAAGTTCAAACTTGAATTGCACCACAGAAGTTATACAGGGGAGAAACTCTATCAACGTTCTGGAGGGACAAAGAGTTCAAACCTTCTTTTGCATCAAAAAATCCATCCAAGTGAGAAATCAGATAATTGCTCGGAGCACGGGAAGAACTTCCTTCAGATAGGTGATCTTTTGCCATGTCAAAGAATTTACGGAGAACATAAATTATTTCAGTGCTCGGAGTGTGGAATTCAATTCAACCAGAGCGCCTCTCTGACCCCACATCAGCGATTACACACGGAAGGAAGACCCTACCGATGCTTGGAGTGTGGAACGAGTTTCGGTCAGAACACGTCCCTTCACACTCGGGAAAAACTGTACAAATGCGCTGAGTGCGGGAAGAGCTTTAGCCACCCCGCGCTCTTGAGTCGGCATACAAAAATCCACTTGGGAAAGAAGCCATACCTATGCTTGGAGTGTCCCAAGACGTTCAACACGAACGCCGGTTTGGTTTCTCACAAGAGAATTCACACGGGGGAAAAACCGTATGCGTGTTTGGAGTGTGGGAAATGCTTCCGGCAGAGAACACACCTGACGACCCACCGAAGGACCCACACCGGGGAGAAGCCGTACAAATGCTTCGAGTGCGGAAGGAGCTTCAGTCAGAGCTCGCACCTTACTTTGCACCGACGCACTCACACGGGAGAGAAACCATACCAGTGCTTTATGTGCGAGAAGACGTTCAGCAACAGGACCTACCTTAATTGTCATGAAAGGACCCACACGGGAGAGAAACCTTACAAATGCCTGGAGTGTGGAAGGAACTTCAGTCAGAGCAGCAGTCTTAGGGTCCATAAAAAGATTCACCGAGGGGGGTGAAACCGTACGCGTGCTTTGGATGCCAAAAGAGCTATATGTGTAAGAAAAGAAACAACTTCTCAGAGAATCCACAGAGAGAGAAACTTTATCATAGAGTAGACTAGACTAGACTAGACTAGAATAGACTAGACTAGACTAGACTAGACTAGAATAGAATAGAATAGAATAGAATAGAATAGAATAGAATAGAATAGAATAGAATAGAATAGAATAGAATTCTTTATTGGCCAAGTTTGATTGGACAAGGAATTTATCTTGGTGCAAATACTCTCAGTGCACATAAAAGAAAAGATACATTCGTCAGGAGTCAAGAATCATAAGATACAACATTTAGTGATAGTCATGGGGTACGATAAGCAATCAAATCATACTAGGAAAGAGTCAATATAAATCGTAAGGGTACAAGCGACAAAGTTACCGTCATGCAGTCATAGGTGGGAAGAGATGGGTGAAAGGAAGAATGGGAGGATTAATATTAATAGTAATAATCAGTCCTTGGAGCGCAAAAGAGCATTCGAAGAAATGCACCTTCTGAATCCTGAAACAAATTCAGACCTTACAAACTTCAAAAGAGTTCAGAAACGGCAATGAAATTGAGATGGGGCATCTGGGCAGCAGGTCAAAAAAGTCAAGATGGAGATTGAAAATCCGTGCTCAAAGCCCTGTCTCTTAGTCTGCACATCGTATGCACCGTATAACAAAATAACAGAGGATTTTATAGATTCACAGAATATAAATAGATTCTAGGCATCGGGGATGTCTTAATTATGGATTTCTGCATTGAAAGGGTTGGACTTCCTGGTTTCAGGAGTCCCTTCCAGCTCTGGAATTTTATAGATGCACAGAATGCCTGCCTAATAATTGTATTTCAGAAAACAGAATAATAGAGTTGGTTGTCCAATCTCTTCTTAAAAACCTCCAAAACTTCTGTAGGCAAGTCATTCTACTGTTTAATTGTTCTGTCAGGAAATTTCTCCTTAGTTCCAGGTGCTTCTCTCCTTGACGAGTTTCCATCCATTGTTTTTTGTCCTGCTCTCAGGTGTTTCTTTTTTTTTTTTTTTTGAGAATACTCTCTTCTTTATGGCAGCCCCTCAGATATTTGAACAGTGATATCATATCACCCTTAGGCCTTCTCGTCACTAAACTAGATATACCGAATTCTAGACACACCCAATTCCTGCAACTGTTCTTCATATGTCTCCGGTCCCCTAATCATCGTAGTTGCTCTTCTCTACACTTTTTCTATCATAGGCACAGCTGCCATCTTGATTTTTTTTTAACCCTTCTGCAATTCTAAGATTCACTTTTTAGAGATCAGAGACTGTTCCAATGTTGGCTTTATGAACCACTGTAATAATTCAAATATTAAATATTAACTGAGCGAAGCACATAATTTTAGCATTCCCAAATGCGTGAAGAGTATTTGTTGCAAGAATAAACTGAATAAAAGAACGCGTATGTTTAATGAATGGCGGGAGAGAGGGGGAGGGAGGGATGCTTACATTGTGATAGAGACTTTACAGTCTTCAAGAAATACAAGAAGCATAAAGCATGTGTGTGAGAATGAAGTGTTTCATTGCTAAACAGGAAGTGAGAAATGGAAGTGAAGTTTTCTGTTCAAGGCATTTGTGAAGAAAGGATGCTTGGAATGAATTTAATTGATTCCTTCTTTCCTTCCTTCCTTCCTTCCTTCCTTCCTTCCTTCCTTCCTCTATTTGTTTCATTAGCATCCCAGAATACTTAGTTAAGATGGGTGGCTATGAAGAATGGGATAGATAGATAGATAGATAGATAGATAGATAGATAGATAGATAGAT